TGCTGACAATCAGAGCAACTTTTGTGGGGAAACACCTACTGCCTATGTCCCACAACAATTTCCTGGTTTCCCAGTATATGTTTCTGGATAATGAAAATGTCCATTCTATAGTCACTGAAAAATAACTGAAAGATTTAGTAACTACAGTTCTTCTGACAGAAACTGAAAAGCCATATAATTTCCTTCTTTCTGTATCTTTTTTTAATAATAATAATAAAAAAAAGAAAAACGGATTCTAAAATTTAACAACTGAAAAAATTGAATAGCTGGCACTTCAAAGGAGTAATTTGCTAGAGAGTTTGATTCAATAAAGGCATATTTCAAGTTATCAGTTATAGCTTTTATTAGTGTCAGTAAAATTTTAAGTTCAACAATTATTTTGAAGGTAGTAGTTCCAAAACCACAAACATTTTTAGCATTTTTTGCAACAGAAGCAGATATGACAAAATTTTTATGCAGAAACTGAAGATAGTATAATTAATTTGTGGTTTATGTTAACCTCTTTGTAGTAGCTTTTATACCTTACATTGTGAGGAAAAAATATTTTTATTACAAATTCGCTTGTAACTGTTTACATGGAGTGGATTCATAATAAATGATTATCATGACAGAAGTCCAGATGATATGTGGACTCTTTTGTTCTCAAATAAAGTTTGAAATTACAACTGATTCTCTATATAAGTAGTGTTGTTGTAGCAATGTTGGTCCCATAATATTGGAGAGATAAGATGAGTGAAATAATATCTTGTATTGGACCAACTGTTATTGGTAAAGTAGACAAGCTTATACAGTTCTTCAGTCATGAAAAACTCTGTGTAAGCTCGAAACATATCTCTCTCGCCAACAGAAGTTGTTCCAATAAAATATATTTCTTCTCCTAAATGAATCTCTAGATATGTAACATGTACAGCACCTTGCTTTCAATAGTTTGATTTATCTAACCGGTTGGCATAAAGAAAACAACAACGTTCTTTGTAATATTTGGTGAATCATAATTTATTAGCTGGAGAAGGAATCCTGGTTCCAACAAAAGGTGAATTTTGACCAATCAAATCCAACTACCTCAATTACCATTTTGTAATATATACCGTACCTCCCATTACAACATACTCACAATTTATAAACTACAAACAATCCTAAAATGAAAGAAGCTATGTGAATTAGGTACAAAAATCTATATTGGTTTATAATTATCAATTATGCAGCATAGAAAAAACTGATAAAGTGGTGTATATATTTAAGTGTGATAGGATGTAAACATTATTCAAGAGTAGTATTCATCACAGGTGACTTCCTCACTTGATTATAGCTTGTAAAAAGGCTACAAATAGAAGTCAAATGCAAAAGTTGCCACAATATGCTATATCTTGATTTTAGTAAATCTTTTGATGTCTTACCTAATAGCAAATTTCGGAAGTATAACCTAGATGAACCTACAATAGGAGAGGTGCACATTTGTTTGGACGGTGGTACTCAAAGAAGTTATCAATGACTCACAAGCAAGCTGGTAGGGCATACCAAGTGGGGTCCTTCAGTGATCTAGACTGAATCTAGCTCTGTTTAAGATATTAATAAATGATTTGAAAAATGGAGTAGTTAAATGTTTTGGAAAATAGATAAGGTTTATAGTTGAGATAAATATGGGAGTGGTTGCAAGTGCTTGGGAGGACAGGATTGGAATTCAATATGGTCTTGACAAACTGGAGAAATGGTCTGAAATAAACAGGGTGAAATTCAATAAGGACACATGCAGTATACTACAATTATGAATGAATAATCAATTGCACAAATACAAAATGGGAGATGACTGCCTAGGAAAGAGTACAGCAGAAAATGACTTATGGGTTACAGTGGCTCAAAGACTACAGGAGTCAGCGATGTAAAATCATTGCAAAAAAAGTGAACAGCATTTTGGGATGTATTAGCAGAAGTGTTGCAATCCAAGTATTGGAAGTAATTCTTTCATTTGACTCAGCCCTGATAAGTGATCAATTGAAGTACTGTGTGTGGTTCTGGGCACCACACCTTAGGAAAGATGTGAGCAAATCAGAGAAAGTCCAGAGGAGAGCAGTAAAAATGATTAACAGTCTAAGGAAAATATGATCTACAAGGAAATATTATGGTTGTTTATTCTGTAGATGAGAAGGCTGAGGGGGGACATGATAACAGTTTTCAAGTACATAACAGGTTGAAATAAAGAAAAGGCTGATAAAATCATTCTTAAGCACTGAGGACAGGACAAGAAGTAATAGGCTTAAATTACAAGGGAACCTTGGCAAGGGAGACTTAGCTTAGACATTAGTAAAAACTTCCTCACTGCAAGGATAGTTACGTACTGGAACAGATTATCTAAGGAGGCTGTGGAATTTCTATCCTTAGGCCCTGGTTACAAAGGCCCTGATCCCTCATTTCGAAGTAACAAGAGGAGCATCCACATTACCAAGCCCTTTTATTTCGAAATAAGGGGCTGGTTATTTTGAAATAGTGGTAATGTGGATGCTCTACTGTTGCTATTTTGAAATAACTACTCCTCAGAATCATTCAAAATAATCACTCCCCTGTGCTTCCTGGGGCTCTAAGCTGAGGTAGCATATCCACATGAAGGGAGCCTGCCTCTGACTAATTTTGAGACTTCCCTGTGGCGTGGACTCGTTATTTCAAAATAGTTATTTCAGGAGTTATTATTTCAAAATAAGTTCTTTTAAAGAAATTTCATAGTGTAGACATGCCCTAGAGCAGAGGTGGGGAACCTAAGGCCCAGGGGCTGGATGCAGCCCCCAGCTTCCCTGGGTCCAACCCCTGAGGGCTGGGGCTCCCCCCCCCCAGCATTGGGGAGCCTATGCTGCTGGTGAGAGGGTGGGTATTTTTTTGTTTCTCACTCTTGTGTAGCCCCCAACTGATTTTTCTGTGGGTAGGTGGCCCTGACTCAAAAAGATTCCCAACCCCAGCTCTAGAGAATTTAAGGATTAGGTTAAACAAAAACCTGGCAGGGATGGTCTATAATAGATAATGCTTAGTTCTGCCTTAGTGCAGGGGGCTGGACCTACTCAGATCTCTTTCAGTCTTACATTTCTATGATCCTGTATGACGCAGTAATATGGAAGCTCACTTAAAAATCTAATGGGACAAAACTGGTGATTCTAGTTCTACAGTACTGGATGCACACATTTGCTGACTGTTTCTATTATTAAACTCACAACATAAAGGGTTATTTAAACTGGCATTTAAGTGGTCAGAGTAATGTTCCAGAGCACATTTTGAAGAAAAGCGTCCGTGCCAATCTAGATGCGCTTTTACGCAAAAAAAGCCCCAATCGTCATTTTCGCGAGCAGGGCTTTTTTGCACGAAACAAATCTGAGCTGTCTACACTGGCCCTTTTGTGCAAAAGCTTTGCGCAAAAGGACTTTTGCCCGAACAGGAGCAGCATAGTATTTCCGCAAGAAGCACTGATTTCAGACAGTAGGAAGTCAGTGTTCTTGTGGAAATTCAGACAGCAGGCAAGTTTTTCCACAAAAGCAGCTGCAAGTCTAGACACAGCCTTAGTGTTACCCCCAATTCTGGATAGTTGTGTGATGTTTATTCTGACCACCCCTTGACCTTGATGCTACCAGGAGCAGCACGGAGCCAAGTCAGTCAGGAAGATTGCATTAGCCCCTGTGTGCTGCATGACTTTTAGCGGTTTAAAAATCTCCCGAGTTTGCCTGTGCACCACCGTGTAGCCTTGGTGAATAGATGTTTGAGGCACATGCACAGGCCAAATGGGTAGTGCTTCCAAAAATATCCAATCAAAGGTTTTGGTTTTGAAGCTGAAATATGTGTGCTGTACCTAGTATTTTTGTAACATATACATTTTGTTATAATTTGTCCTCAGCCAATACAATTATACATCCCTGTCACCAATAAATTCATATTCTGTCTGGCTTTCAGGTTTTTAGGAATCCTAGCCTATTTGCTGAAAGGCCCCAAATCTTTGAAATTCACAGATTCTTCCCTTAGGTTTCTGCTGTTATATGAGAAGTTGCACGTGAAATCATTAATGATATACATATTGACTTATGTGCCAGGTATGCAATGTTGTAACGATGTATTTTTAGGTAGCAGTTAGGCTTTTTTTTTTGTTTAGCTCGTCAGTGGCTAAGCCAAAGATTTATATTCATAATAGATGTTCCCCTTACTTTTTATTGTACATAATAAA